CAGAGCTACAAATTGATATTAATAACCATACCATTCGTTCAAAAAGAAGTCTTAAAAATCTAGGGGTTCAGTTGGATTATGATATGTCTATGTCCTCCCAAATAAGCCAGCTCAGCAAAAGTATTTACTTTCAGCTTAAGAAAATTGGCAGTGTATGAAATTATTTAACTAAAGCAGCAGCCAAGACACTTGTAACAACACTCATTTTATCAAAGTTAGATTACTGTAATGTTATTTTGTCCGGTTTGACATCCGAAAAACTATCAAAGTTACAAGTACTCCAAATCAAGCAGCAAAATTGATAATGAAACAAAAGAAATCAGCCCACGTAACACCAATTCTGAAAGAACTATACTGGCTGCCAATAAAAGAAAGGATTAAATACAAAACTGCCGTTCTCTGTTTTAAATGTATAAATGATAGTGCACCTTTTTATCTTAAAACATTCCTGGAATTATATAATCCACCTAGAGCCCTTAGATCAGCCTCTGACAATCTAATTCTTAAAACTCCAAAACAAAACTACAAAACATACGGCGAGCGTTCCTTTTTGTTCTTTGGTCCCCAGGTATGGAACGAAATCCCATATATAAAATAAGATCTGCCCCAACAATTTCCATTTTCAAAAATCAGCTGAAGCATTTTTTATTCACAAAAGCATACCTGTCATAATGATGTACTGTGATATATATGCATGTGTATGCCAGACTGTGAGACTGGAGAAATAGCGAGTGAGAATGAGAGAGAGAAAGAGAGAGAGATAGAGAGAGAAAAGAGAGAGAAAAGAGAGAGATAGCGAGAGAGGGAGAGAGAAAGAGAGAGAGATAGAGGGAGAGGGAGAGAGAGAGGGAGAGAGAGAGAGAGAGAGAGAGACAGACAGACAGACAGACAGACAGAGAGAGAGAGAGAGAGAGAGACAGACAGACAGACAGACAGACAGACAGACACACACAGAGAGAGAGAGAGAGAGAGAGAGAGAGAGAGAGAGAGAGAGAGAGAGAGATAGAACGGAAATGTTTTTCTATCTGTATAGAATTAATGTTTTAATGAATGTTTCTAGTTACTCACGTTTCAACTGTATTTTGACTGTTCGTGAATTTATATTGCATTGTATATTTTTAGTGAACACATTTTCAACCTCACTGCGAGACTGTTTTTCTGGTATACAATTTTACACATATGCATTTATATTATATGTATAATACTTTGTTTTGCGTACACATTTGTGTCGATTAATTTTTAAGATGTGATGTCTTTTTCATTGTAATGCGCATTGAGCATCTTTTAGGAAATAGAAATGCGCAGTATAAATGCTATTTATTATTATTATTATTCGACACCTTAGAATAAGTTGCAACTGAGAATACACGATTTAATAGAACAGGGGGGAAATCGTGCTCGCATGGCTTCCCAGCCACGTGGGCATCTGGGGAAACAAGCAGGCCGATCTCCTAGCAAAGGAATCTTTGTCCCTTTTGTTGGGATCAACGAAGAACACCCTCCTAGAGACAGAATTTAAAAATAGAGTAAAAGAAAAACTTGCACCTCCAGTCTGAGAGAGAAACATTGTAGTAAACAACCCAACAGTAAACTCCACAAGATCATACGAAAAACTTGGGGCATCTCCAGAAGAGATATATGAAGATATTAACTTACTCGATTATGCACTAGGCATACCTCCTGGACACATAAATACCTCCTGCAAGGAGAGGAGAGGAGAAACCCTTTTGTGTCGGATGTGATACTGATTTTACAATTTGACAAATACTAAAGGAAAGTCCAGACTTTGGAGAGACTCGAAGGAAATTATAATAATATTATAAGTGTAGAAATTTGAGAGATCTGTTCTTCGTTGTTGATTCCAACAGAATTCTAGATTTTATAAAAGCCATTGGCATTTAGAGTAAAATATAGATACGTGTGTATTTGTTATTTTAATTAAATGTAAACTGTTGTGTACGTAAAATGTTTAGCTTTTTAAGCTGACCATAAACGAAATCAAGCCATGCTGTGAACTGTTGGGAACGCAACCAACTTGTGTTTCGCGCGCTCATATTGTGATCTTATGAAGTTGCGTAAAACCCTTACTAAACTAAACTGAAAACTTGACACATACAGTTGCACACATTTCCGGCTCCTTACCAAGGTGCAGACTGAGCGAAGGGGTCCGCCTGGTTTGAGCGTTGTTGAAAAAAAAGTGACAACTCGTTGTGGACGCTTTGACTTTTTTTTAGCGCTTAGGGTTTTTTAAAATAATGTATTATTAAACCAACTGAACTTACGTTGAGCTGGGATCGAGTCGAAGCCCCACGAGATTTATACAACAAACAACAACCACAACAACAACAACAACAGCAACAACAGCAACAACAACAACAACAACAACAACAACAACAACAACAACAACAGACAGAACCGAACTAATTAGTGGAATAAAACATCTCTATGACGTCGTGGCAAACCATTACGTATAGTAGTAGTAGTATATGGTTTTACGGCGCTCGCAACTGCTAAGGTCATATGAGCGCGCAACCATTACGTATTACCATCTCCTGCCAAGCCTACAAGGGTGTGAGGCGGAATCGGGGGAGGGGGGATTCCCGCATAGGTCGATAACCAAAGAATGATATTATCTCGCTGGTTTGAGGTGCAGTTGGCCCAGATTTGTATCTCCAACGCGGAGCTTTAGAACTTGGGTTGTGTTGTGGCAAAGATAGTACAAAACAAGATGGGCCACTCAGCCTAAAAAGTGTCCGCAGGAAGTATGCTCTTTGCTTCAGATGGCGCTGCAGTCTGTTTTGAAGCTCTCTTTCGTTTTTCCAGAAGAAGAATAGGAATAGCACCTCCTTGCGTGCGCAGATCGACTGCTGTTCATCAGCAGTTCGGGTACGTTCAGTGTGGAGTTTTAGGGTTTTTAAAAATATTTTAATGACCTCTCGCCCTTCATTCTAAAGTCAAATTAAACGAAGAAAACCATCTCCTTTTCCTCTGGAAGAGGTTTTTTGTCAGCGTAACCATTTTTAAAAAGCGTTCTTCCGAAATTTATCCCAAAATTTGCTAGTTTCACCAGAGACACTAAAATATTATTAAATACTCTCTGGTTTCACTTTGATTTTTAAAAACTCAAGTAGGGTAACTCTGTTCGCAAAGAGTGCGCTTTTGTGAAGAGGGCGCCACCAAATTTTGAGGACACTTTTTTAATTGGCTCAAAGAGAGAAGTGGCCCATCTTGTCTTGTACTATCTTTGGTTGTGGGAGGGTTCGAGTTCTCAAGCCACTTTTGTCTCTTACGGAGATGGATAATAGGCTACATTTGGAAGTCCCACATCCTTACTATTTGGTTGAACGGTTATCAAGTTATCGATATCAAGTATTAATATCGTTAGGCCCTATATACTTATGTTTTAATTTTAAAAAATGTAACTGCATATTTTGCTAAATCATAACTAACAATATTAATACCTGGTATCCGTAACTTGATAATCGCTCGGCGAAATAGTCAGGTCATAGGGGAAAAAATGAGCACTCAAAGAAGTCGATTTTTTAAACATTCAATTCTCACTTTGGACAATAGCGCTCAAATCGAAAGACTAAGCCACTAATAGGAATGGTCAGAGATCGTGTTCACAAAGTAACGATCTGCCAAAGCCTGAGTGGCCAGAACTGAGTCTTAAGTGATGATTTGACCACTCACTTCTTGTTACCAATGGACTCGTAATCAATTACTCTAAATCCTACTTTCACCCCCCACCCCCCCCCCACCCCCTCGGTGAGCAGGATGCAAAAGATATAATATTGTTAATAATAATATGATAGCAAACGGAAGAGGTGCCCGCTCGTTCCAATAACCCTGCTTTGAATCATGCTAAAGCTGCTCGTATTTGCAAAATATCATAACTTATCGATTCTAAATATCGATGTACGAAAGTGCTCAAAACTATAGTGCTCAAATCAAGTCGAGATAGTGTTTGATTTAGGTTGATCAGCACTCAAAACAGGAACATATAATATGTTCGAGAGAACAGATTCTCATTTGTAAGAAATATAATTTGACAGTAAGTTGCGCCGCGAATTTTTGCTCTCACTTTAAACAGTATTTTAGTTATGGTTTTTATGGTGGTAATTCTTTTTATAACTCTCCCCCACAAAATGTTCGTGTTTTCGTGTTTTTTTTAATGCAGTAGACAAAATAAGCTGCTAAAACAAAACTAACAGATATATGAAGTTCTCTTGTTGATAAAAATTTTGTATTATAGAAGTTGATGATCCTATCTTAATAACAAAGAAATTGCACGAAAAATGAAAACGCCTTAGAATTTTTCAACGTCTTAAATTTTGAGGTAAACGTTACATAATATACATCTCAGTTGTCGATCTATGATGATTTTTTTTTACATTCAGGTACAATTCCCTATGAACATGTTGAAAACAGTGATGACAAAATACACTGTGATTATAGATAATCAATTTCAAAAGCACTGTTTTCCTTCCCCTAGTTTTAAAAAGTGACATTGCCACCAACAAGTTTATAATACTTCCATATCTATTTATATGTTTACGTTGCTTTTTTATACGTGCTTGTCTTTACATTCATTATTTTTCTAAGTGGCCTCATGCTCAGTCAAGGCAAGCCCCACTCACTTAGCAACTCGTCCAATGTCATTTAACTGAAGCAACAAGATGACTGTGGCATCCACAACAACAAGGACGGCAGTATGTGACGATGAAACAAAGAAAACGACAGCAGCAGCAACAAGAACAATCGGAACAATGGCAACGAAAGGCATCTTGGAAGAATCTTCTGTAGCTTTCACAAACGAAAGCAATAACGAGGAGGAGGAGGAGGAGGAGGAGGAGGAGGGGGGGGTGGCGACAACGAAGACAACAACAGCGACGACAATGACGAAATCGACCAAGACAAAATCATCGACAACTAAAGCAATTTTGAAAACATCCAAAACGACTAAACAAGGTGTGCAACCCATTTCTACCCTACCATACCTTTACTTTTTTACTGGCTGAACTCCTGGTCAGAAAGTCACACGAACAGCACTGTTACCTCTTCACGACTCTGAGTTGACAAGCTACCCGGTACCTCCCGAACTCTGCCGATGACTGTGCCGACACCCAGCTCAAAAAGGGGTTTTCTGTTGGTTATGGCGTCAACTGCAACCACTCAATCGTTTCGAGGCCACAAACGGGGTCTCTCTGTCCCAGAAATTCATAATTCGTTGTCACCTCCAATACCCCCCTCTCTTTCTCCGCCTCCTCAATCCCTCCCGCCGCCTCTCTCTCACGCCCCCTCTCTATCGCTCTCTCTTTCTATAATGTTCTCTCTCTCTCTCTCTCTCTCTCTCTCTCTCTC